CTAGAACTGCTAAGATCTTCTCCGAGTTCTGAAAAGGACTCAGCAATGCCATCAACCATCTCTCCCTTTTTCTTTGCAGCTAACTACCCAGACCAACTGCAGTGCCTGAACGCTCCGGTCCTCTCTGCCAAGCAGTGCTCTGATGCCTACCCTGGGCAAATTACCAAGAACATGATGTGTGTAGGATTCGTGGAGGGAGGAAAAGACTCCTGCCAGGTAACTCATCAGCCTCTCCTTTCCCAGTCATTTCTCTCCTGCCTTTTCCCAGCTGAAGAGGCCTTCACATTACAGAGTCAGCTGTACTCACTGCACTGTTAAATCTGAGTTTTTGAATGACATCAAAGCCTTTGGGCACACATATCCTGAAGGTTTGCCAAGTACTGCATCTGGCAAAAACAGGCAGCTGACTCATCCTTAGCTGTGGTGCCCTTGGAGCTCAAGTCAGGCATGGTAGCATCAGGTGGAGAGTGTGAATCAGCCTTTGTAGAACTTTTGTGCAGAGTACCCCTGGCAGGATTTCCTGCAGAGGCAGTGATCTCAGGGATCTCTGGCTCATTGCTGAGGCTGATGCCATTTGCTGAATATCCATACCCTTTGTGTGCACAGGGAGATTCCGGCGGTCCCGTGGCCTGCAATGGAGAGCTCCAGGGCATTGTCTCCTGGGGTTATGGGTGTGCCCAGAAGGGCCATCCCGGAGTTTACACCAAGGTTTGCAACTACGTCTCCTGGATCCAGTCCACCATCGCCGCCAACTGAGACGCTTGTTTGGTGTGACCTGCCTTTTCTCATCATCATTCCTGTTCTTTTGGGTCTGGACAAGCAAAAAATTATGAGAAATTAATAAAGACTTTCAGGCACCCCTACTTTGTGCACTCTTTCTCTGGAAACTTCCAAAGGCTGTTATATGGAGCACAGTAGCAGTGAACATCAGTCAAGAGAACATATTTATTTTCTGTAGTGCCTCTCAATTGACAGGGTCTTGGAACACTTTGCAGACTCATCATCAGGATTCTTTCAGTCAGTTACATGCTCTTGCTTCTGAAGCAGAACATAATTTCACTTCTTTTTGAACAGGAAAAGTAATAGCCCATATTTCAACAGTTCTTGAAATTATTCTGAAATTCATCCTCAAACCTTGCCTGTCCCCCTTCTTGGAACACCAGCAGCTGCAGCATGTCATCCTTTCTTTGAGCCTGCTTATATCACCGTCTGAGGAATGGAAGAGGGATGAGGGTGGTGAGGGCCAGGAGGTCAGCAGAAGGAAAGGCATTGCAGTAGAGTATTTGGATCTGCCATGTTGCAGAGTTGGTCCTTGCCAGGAGGCTGATTGGGATGTCATGTTTTGTGCTTACAGAGTCCCAGAACGAGGCTATGGTGTCCCAAATCCCAAGAAGAAAAGAAGTTCGGGGAGAGGAAGGAGGGAAGTGAGGAGGGAAGGCAGAAAAGCTACAGGAAGAAAGGACATAGCTGGGAGGGAAGCCAGAACACAAGCCAGAAAGGGAGGAAGGCAGGGAAGAAAGCAAGAGAGAAGGAAGGAGGATAAAAAGGCAAAAATTTATGAAAGAATGAACATTAAAATGAAGACAGGAAATTAAAGTAGCAGGAGGGCAGAAAGAAAGGCTCGGGAAGTGATTGTAGGCATGAGTGCTGCTGCCTGGGGCTCTTTGCCTACAGTCCCGGGATACTGGGAAGACTGGATTACATCATAAACATTAGAGTGCTCAGACGACAGGGTAGAGGTGTAACATGGGGTCCCAGCTGCAGAGCTGTGTGCCCATTCCCTTTCAGACCAGTGGGACCAAGGACCAGTTTGCCTTGTATTTCCAGCTTGTGGAGAAGGAAAGGGCTGCATGAACTATTCCACATCCTGGTTCTCAAACCATGAGTTGACATAGCAGACAGAAAGGAAGGAGAGATGGATGCGGAATGGAATAGGGAATACGAAAAGAATTGGTGTAACAAGAGACAAAGGAGAGGGGACAAACAGAAAGATGTGGAAGGAGGAAAGTGAGAAGCAGTCTGTAAATGGCAGAGATATGAGTGGAGACAGTGAGATCCAGAAGAAACAAGAATCAGAAGGTGATTCAGAGATGGGAAAGAATAGAAGAGCAGTTATAGACCATGCAAAAGACAGACACATGGACAGAGAGACATACACCATCTTTCCTGAAGAGCTGAAGTGCCTGTAAGAAAATGGGGTTCTCTCAAACACAGGGCTCAATGTGTGCTGGTGGCAGATCCCTGTTTGCCTGGAAAGGTTTGTGCTATGCTGCACCAGCCTTTGAGTCACTGTGGATCTTGTTCAGCACAGAAATATGTGCCTGTGTCATTGAGTAGGGCATGCTCTACCTTCACAGATAAATGGTTGTTCCTAGTCCCATTACTCTGGAAGCGATTTTTGAATTCCTTCTCAATGTCTGCTTTGCCACCTTCCACTGAATATACAACCAGCTGCATTCTGGCATCCTTTTCCTTGGGTAACTTGTACCAGTACATGTTTACGAAATCTTTTCCTGATGCAGAACATTTCAGAGTCACGGTGTCTCCCACCCGGACAACTGAATCTGGTGATTGCTCAAGGGCCCAGCCTGGAAAGAGAGGAGATGAAAGGTGAGAAGTGAAATGTATTGAAGAGGACAAAAATACTCATCCTTGAAATATGTCATGGGAAGGAATGCCACCGGGATATCAGAAAGCTATGGGCCAGTGCCCTGCATCTCTGAAAAAAGGCACATAGGATCCAAAATTCCCCAAACAAACCAACTTCAAATGCAGCAGTAAATCTGTTTTGAGAAATAATGACTGCGGTACTCTCAATTGACGCATTAAAATGGGGCTGAAAAAAAATCTGTAGCTTTGCGGAGTTTCCAGATTGAATAGCTGGTGGAAAAGCTCACCTGGTTCATTGCTCACCCCCACACTGGAAGCCTTGGGAAGAGGCACTGCCAGCAACTGGGAGCACAGCTGAGGA